CACACACACACACACACACACACACGCACGCACAACACACACACACGTAAACACAAAAACACAAAAAAACTCCAACACTCACTGCTACCACCGTACTGCCTCAGCACCGACGGGCTCACATTGGCCGGGTCACCATGACCTGTAATCACGGGGTGAGTCACGATGGGGATGACATTTGTCTTGCTGGGGTCGAGGGCGGGGCTTGTGTGGGTCACGGGGTCGACCAGGAGGGGAGTGAGTGACACCCCATTCTTGGTACAGGAGACCTTCTGGCAGCATGGGTTGGCGAAGTCCATCACCATCACACAGTACTCGGGCAGGTCTTTGATGGCCGGGCAACTGCAGAGTACAGTACAGGGAGGGGTTTTTTTGCGTTTTTGTTTTGTTTTTTTGTGTGTTTTTTGTTGTGTGTTGTTGTTGTTGTTGTTGTTGTTGTTGTTGTTGTTTTGGGGTTGTTGGGTTGTTGTTGTTTTTTTGGGGGGTGGCAGTATTATGGTGATGCGGGCTCAAAAGATTAATATATTATGTATATTATCATTACCATTACCATCACACAGTATTCGGGCAGGTCTTTGATGGACGGGAAACTGCAGAGTATGCAGTTCATGGAGTTTTTTGCGTTTTTGATTTCTTCTAATTTTTTTTGTGTGTTGTTTTGTTTTTTAGTTGGGTCGTTTGTTGTTGTTGTTGTTTGTTTGGTGTTTTTTTGGGGGGGTGTTATGGTGATGTGGGCTCAGAAGGTTAATATATTATTATACTATCATTACCATGGCCCTCATGTAGTACTCGGGCAAGTCTGTGATGGCTGGGCAACAACAGAGTACAGTTGCGGAGGAGCAGATTTGTTTCTGGGGTTTTTTTTATTTGTTTGTTTTGATGTTGGGTTTGGGGTTCTTGTTGGGGGTTTTTTTGGTGGGCGTATTTGGTTTTTTTTGTTTGTTTTTTTGGGGGGTGTGCTTTTAACTGTGAAGCATCATTATCATTTCCTCCGCTATGATCATCAATACTGCCACTTATTTCATCATTTAATTCACACCCATTTCACCTATTCTCTTCCCAAAGAAACAAGCAGCGTCACAGCTCTGATAAACACAAGACACCCACCCACTATCATTCACCCATTACATCCTAACCCTTTTAGTGGGTGGTTGGCGGGTACTCTGCTGTGGTTGGCTTCTTCTTTCCTATCAAACACCTATCGTCCTTTTCTCCCCTTCTTTTTTATGTTTGTTAGGGGGTACGGTGGGGGGGGCGGTTAGTACGCTCGTCTCCGAAGCGGAAAGTCAGGGTTCGAGCCTCGATTCGGACACAGATTTTTTCGCCCCCTCCTGCCCGCCCAGCAGTAATGGGTACCTGACTTCGAGTTGGGGAAGTAAAGGAGTGGAAAGGAAATGGCCACCGTAACACAATATGCCGAAGGCCCATGAAGCTGTCTCACTAACAAGGCAATCCCCAATGTCCGGATTGGATGCGGGAACAACTTTACTTTCTTGAAACACCTCTAATCTTCTGGTGCTCATATGACCATATTATGTAGCGCCGTAACACTTCTATTAAAACTAACTAACCCTTTTATTTCCAGCCATGGCTTACAATACTACCAAACTTCTCAAATCAGTCTTGGACAAAGCAGTCTAAAGATTTTCATCTCACCTTCTGGTACACTGGTAGTTGTTACCATTGGGATCGACACAGCGGCAAGACTGGCACCCATCCGTCCATGCCTCGTTACGATGGTAGGCCGTTCCGTCTTTGTACACACATGTAGCTGCAAACAAAAGCAGAAAAATGCATATTATTCATTGCTTATTCGTTTGCTTGGATGCTTGCATGATAGAGAAACACGAGAACACATTATATATGTGTCACGACGCTGTTGAATCAGGCACTCGTCTATTTTGGGGCATATAGAATTATTAACATCATCTTAAAGCTTGTTCATTTGTCTTGCATTTGGCAAAAAAAATACAAATCCTTCTTGAATAGAAGGGATAAATATTTGCAATTTAAGAATTTGGGGGTCGCTTGGTATGAAAGGTAAAAACAACAAAGAAAATAGCCGCCAAATTTGGTGACTACGAAAGCTTGAGAGTCATTGGAAACTGGAAATTTTGCAGCGTTCATGCCTTTGGTAAACATTTTTCGGTAACATCAACACAGAAGGGATATAAAAGGTGTGGAGTCCATTTTTTTAAAACTTGCCAAACGCCCAGAAAAATGCCGATTTCTTTGATTTCTTTACTTAGACCAATGTCGGTTTTCACTATGCTGCCTCAATTTAGGATCAGTTTTAGTTTCACTACAAGTTTTAGGGCTAAAATGTATCTTTTACCAGAGTTATATTACTGCCATAAGTCAGTTTTTGATGTAAAGACACAAACATTCTCAAAGGTAGACATATATATTCGAAACACAGACAAGAACTCACGGTTATAAGGTTGCACAGCAGTGACGATGTTTGTCGTGCTCTGTGTAGTGATAGTAGGTCCAGGCGTATAGGGCACCGTAGACTGCATACTGCTGACTGGACAGATGGCAATTCGGCACGGCGCGTTGTTTGGATCAACATCCATGCGGCAGCCATTGGGCAGGAAGTAATAGTCACCACACCTAGTCAATAGGAGAAAAAGTGGACACTCACTAAACTTCAGTTTTCTTCTTCTTCAAGTGCCAGATCAGACTGGAAACAGACATCTTTAATCATGCACCACTGCAAATTACTCCAACCAAATATTTTATAAACCTATATTATCCTTGTCCATTCTCTCTCTCTCTAGCTCTCTCTCTCTCTCTCTCTCTCTCTCTCTCTCTCTCTCTCTCTCTCTCTCTTTCTCTCTCTCTCATTTCCACATTCTGCTCTTCTCTCACTCTCTTCCACTATCATTATAAATTTGAATACATGTGTCTTTTTCTAATACCATGATATGTCACTGATCTACTTAGTGTCAGACATGCAGACACAAAGCGACACTAAGGTAAGAAATTCTTCGATATTGCAACACCACCAACAAAAGATGAAAAGTGGAGTTAACACCCTAATTTTCTACTATTGGTTTTTATCACCTACTAGGATGGCTATATTCAAACTTTTTAATTGCTTTTCCATAATTTTTCCTGTGTATCATTATGAACAAAATGTGCTGAACATGCTCCTGTCGCAAAAGAGGAAGAGAAACGTCTCCATTCAAGAAGTGAAAAGTTGTTTTTTAAAGTTCTGAAATCATATCGTCAGGCTTATAAAACAACTGCTCAAGTCATTTTAGACATGCATCTAGTAATTGGAATGGCAAAAATGCCCGTTAGTTGGTTCATATTCTCATTATAGCACCACTTCATTATGCAAAGTAAAGATCCAATTACTCCAACATTTTTCCATTTGCTCAAGTCATAAGGTTCACTCAGGTAAGGGGTTGTTATTTTTTTTCTCAAGGTATCTCAAAACAGCAAAAAAATGACTTGGCAATTGTGTTATTACCATGACAATACACAAAACAAAAACATCTGCTCCCTTCACTCACCGCTGCGTGCACTGTGCCTTGTTGGCCGCGGCATCGATACACACGCAGCGTTCAGAGGCAGTGTTCCAAGATTCACCCTGGGAGTAGAAGTGGCCATCCTCGGCAATACATTTGGCTGTGCAGATGAGGAGGACAGAAAGAAACAGGTAAAATCAGCTCCGTACTTGAAGAGACTTGCATGAAAAGCGTTGCTTGCTACCTCGTGAACTTTATCAAATTCAATGTATAGTTAAAAGTTAATTACAAATATGACGATAAAGCAAAGAATCGGCAAGCAAGAAAAGGTAACCTATTAAAACTGCTACTTATTTCTCATGCTGTAATACGAGTATGTCCAAAGAGTAGTTAAATCGTTTGTAGCTCTTGTCAGCCTATGTGGTTTCCCAAAAAATTCTGAAGAGCCATTTGTCTCATATTTCAGTTTTCGTTGTCACTCACTTCTCTGGATGCGAATCTGGTCGCTGGACGCTCCTGGCACCACCGGGCTGTTGATTGTCTTGATGTACGTGGGTGGGTTGCCTGGCCTTATGGCCACCTCCCCAGGCTGCACAAAGTCTGGCTTGTATGTGACAGGAGCCTTGCTGGGGTCTGGTGTGACCTGAAAAAGTTTGTTGTGTAAACGTTGGTGTTTTTACGCTCCAATTGACACAGTTTAGATAATTTAGGAAAATAGGCTTTGAGCTTTGAGCCTTCTTATCGGAGCCAACCCAGACTGAAAGGGATAAAAATAATATCCCAGCAGAAAGGACAACATACTTGATAACAATAATCTCCACTCGTAAAACAAAAGGAAGAAAACACCAAAAATATCTCCTCTCCTCTTCTCACCTTCCCCTCCCACCACCACCCCTGTCCCCATCTTCTGATAAAAAAAAATGACATATGTGTACATATATTTTTTAAACCTTACGACGGTTAAAAGGAGATAAAAACGTGTAAGTTACCAAGCAAGCAAACCCCACTTCAACCCTGAATTCCATGCTACCCTGTTTGCACCTCGAAAAAGTGCGCTCAGCACTACCAGACACCAAACCCACAGCCTCTGAAGGAAAAACGTACACGGCAACCTGAGACAAGAGCGAGAGAGAAGCCAACTACAGTAATACCTGGAATACTGGATCTAGGTAGTTTGGTCCACAGTCTTGAACCAGACAGCACGCGTCAGTCGGGCTGGTTCTCAGCTGACAGCCAGCAGCAGGCTCATAAGCAGGACATCTGCAGAAGGACGTGATAAACTGTGTTTACAACAGTTAAGAACATTTGCATAAGATCATAACCATGTTGACGCATTTTTCTATATAACCTAAGAATATCCGGCTCCAAATATGGAAAAGGGACCTTTTTTTTTCATTTGGATATCAGCCCCTTCACTTTCATGATTGCAACTGTCTTGGACACTTGTTAGGATTACAGAGTGCGCCAAGCAGTCACCTGTCACCATGGTTGTGTTCGTTTATTGGTGCCCCACTCCTCGGAACAACAGAACCCCATCTACCCCAGTCTCTGCTTTCATGTATCATTTAATGAAATCGTAGACCACTGTCAGATTATACGTTTTCAATGTATTATGTTGGAGGTCTTCTCCTATTTCTCTTTGTTATTATTTTGCTCCATTATCGCAGTGGAAGGATAAGTCATTAGTTAATTCCAAACTCTTTCACTTCCAGCCCCGGGTACTCGGTGATATCTGCCGGGGTCAGGCTCAGTGCGGCAACAGAAATAACAACAAGGAGGAGGAGGAGGAGGAGAAGGTGGAGGAGGGGGTGGAAAAATAGAAGAAAAAAGAAGCCAAGTTCATAAAGAAACTAAAAGGAAATACAACCCATTACGTCCAACAGCTCGTTACGAAGATATAATTATCAACTCCAAACAAATTTCCATGAGCAGAAGGTAAGCAAAGAGAGATGACTAACCTGTCAACACAGGAGTAGACACCAGACGTAGCGTTAACACAGGTGCAAGTCTGATCACACTTGACATTCCATCTCTGGCTCTGGAGGTACTGAGCTCCATTATACAGACAGAACCCTGGAAAACACAAACATATCCGAAACTGAAGCTTGAGGAAACAAAACAGCTGCCAAATATATTCGAAAAATTAATGATCAGACAGAAGAAGAAGAA